AGATATCTCACTTGCATTTCCTGTCAGTTCACACAAGTTGAAGATCACCAGTAGAATGAAATTAGGCATGTCAGGAGGCGGCTCTGGATAATATTTCAGAAGTGTCCTGAGGTTAATTCAAAGGAAGTCAAGGATGTGACAAGCTGACATCAACAACTAACACTTTATGTCTCAGGTTATCTGTTGGACAGCGTTACAAATACAATAACAAGAAGAAAATCCCAACGTCTCAGAAGATACAAACAATAAATGTGGCAGCGTTATTTTGCTAAGATGTGAGAATAGATAGCGTGAAAATGAGAGAAAAGACTTGAGTTCTTGTGTGTGTGGTGTTGTCTGCATGTGCGTGTGTGAACACATGTCAACACGCAGACACGCACCCCCTCCCCTCCTCTCTCACGGACGATAATCTGAGTGCATTAATCTGTTGTTTGAACTCCTTAAGCACAGACTGTCTATCACATCTGCTCTCTTCACCCCAGTAAAGCTCTGCAGTTTATAAACTCCCCTTCTTCTCCTCTCGCTCTCCTTCCTTCTCCTGTCTTTTCCTTGTTTGATCTGTCGCCGCAATTTAAAAAATATCGCCTTCATACAGTAAATCCAGCTTCTCATTTGGCCACCAGACCTTTTTGGAAACTTCTTATTCCAGCTTTGAATCTCTCTGATCCCTCTCTGATCTTTCTTCCTCTTACTCACATCTGATAAAACATTACGGGGCCCACATGTTGAAAAACTAAAAAAATCACCCGAGCCAATGTCTTTAATGAAATAAAACCCCCAAAACATTCACAATCTTTGCACAAAAAAAGATGAAACAAACCATTAACGTGTCTGGAAATAAACACTGAATAGTCACAAATGATGCAATAACTGATAAAGGTGACAAATGATGCAAATTTAGCGCATGTGCGCGAGGCGTGAATGATTGGAGAGGAGAATATAAAAGATGACAACAAGGAGACGGACGAGCTTACCTGCTGTCTGTCGCTGTCTCCCTTCCGACAAGAGCGAGGCATCGGGAGAGACACGCAGAGCAGGGACGTGGAGATGATGAAGACGAAGAGGGGATGGGAGGCGAAGTCACAGTCTTTGCGTCATCTGAGGAAATTTGCAGATTAATACAACAGCTTGATGCTCTGAGCCCCTCTCCTCCCCCGCCTCACCCCACTGCATCTCACCCTCACTCCCATCTCCTCCCCTCCCTCCTTTCTCTCAGCCTTCATGACTGCATCTACCACAAGCCTC